CCCGGGCTCCAACCCCCCCCCCACAGACCCACAGACCCCCATACCTTTACAAATCCCCCCACATAATTTTGTATAGTTTTGAGATTTTCTGCACATAATTTTGAGTTTTAAGCTGTACAGTTAAAATTGCGATTAATTGTGACTATTTTTTTTAATTGCACAACTAATCGCGGTCACATTTTTTTCATCATTTGACGGCCCTAGCTACAACACATAAGCAGAGTGAACAATGTAATGACAGCAAATGGCATGTTAGTTGTATGAGATTTTGGTGGCAGTTGGAGAGGAGTTAGTGAAATGAGGATCACCTAATAGAAGAAGAAGTGGAGGGAGAAGGGACCTGGCAAGGAAATGGGATAAGAATGATAGCAAAGAAGAGATATTGGGTATGTCAACTCTGTAGTTATTGTAGTTACTGCTGTATTGTGCAGACATAGCTGATTTAGCTTTAAACTAGTTAGCTGAACCTCTGGTAGAAGTGTAGCCATCAGAATGGAGCTTGGTGCAGGCTAACCAGGCAACTAGTTACCATGCAGTAAGTTCGTTGCCACCATGACTAGACTGCTATCAGTACTCAAGCCAGCTGGTATAACAGTGCCAGCTGTGCAGACCTAGCCTGCTGTGGTAACCAGTAAGCATAAGGGCTGAGAAAGTCTAGTTGCAACTGTGGGAAGTTTTCTGAATGCCTGGCGACGCCTGCTTCAGCTGCTGCTTCCGCTGCTGCTTTTGCCATCGGGTTAATAAAACATAGTCATGTTGTGCTACTGGATGACAACTGGGCTCCTCTAATTCAAACCTCTATGAACAAATAAGGATTTCTAAGACAAGCCTCACTCTCTAGATCGTACTTTCTGAGCGGCAAGTGCTGAAATTCTTATGATAATGGGAGTCATGTTCTTGCAGACCCTATCTTTTAAGCCACCTAGGGTAAAAGTTAAAATAAAAACAAAAGATTAAAAATATATTATATTGACTCTATCCTTCATGCTGCCAGTACATACACCAGATGTACTGGTGCATGTGCTTTAATTAAAGCTCCCCTGCCACTCCTGGAGCATGGTGCAGTGGGGTAGTGATCTGGGACATGGCCACCAAGATACTATCTGAATATAAATAACAGTTGATATTCAGTGTGTTTTCCTCCTCTAAGATCAGCTGGCTTTTTAAAAAAAATTGATGTACCTCTCCATAAACTTTCGTGTGAAAGTCCTATTTGAATATTCCCAGAATTTTACATATTGGTAATTTAGCAGTATGATTTAATTGTATGTAATTGCTAATCACCCTTCCTCCCCAGAATTATAAAAGATTTTTGCTTATGGCACAGACATAAACACAAGGGAAAATGGGAGAAGCAATATAAAATCAAAGATGTTTGTAATAATGTCAAAATGTTGGAGGATGCAAGCACAATTCAGAAAATGACACTGAACTTTGCTTAGTTCTGTGAAGTTACTCCAGCCCTACAAAAATGAAGACTTTGGTCCTGTCCTTGGTACAGGACATCTAGCTCTACCACTGACCTGTACGTGACCAGTCATTTCAGTTTCAGTCTGTCAGGAATCTGAGGTGGTGATGTTTACCTGTGTAGATACTAGTTAGTTTAATGTATTTTTAAAATAGGTGATAGGTGCAGTGCTATATAGCAACAATACTATTATCGCATCAGGATACATTGGCCAAGAGCTTTGAAAGTGCATGGACACTTTAAATAGTTCATAATGTTTCCAAATGTCAAGCACATGAAAAATTAACTGAGAGAGGCATAATTCCCAGGTAAAACACTTGCATGCAGAGGATACATTGTTATTTTCTGTTCAGCACTTCTATCAACAACATCTCTAAAGGCAAACATGTTACTGGCTCGTGAATTCTCTTGACTGGGGACTCCCCAACTTCCCAAGAAGAAGAATGCGGGAACTCAAGAATGATTTCTTAGTGATTCAAAGTGATTGCTAGGATGATAGTGAAAGGAAATACATCAAACTGGTTTTCTGCAGAGGAAAGTCCAGTGACTCGCGTGTTAGAAACTCGCTCACCTAATTACAGTCATCGCACTTTGTAAATGACCACCAAAATCCCTTTCATGGGACTTTAGTGAGAGAACATATTGATCCTGTGTCCTGAATGAGCCCATTTCTACAGATGCATAGAGAATAGGCTGTGACACGTCTTCAGTTATGAAGTAAAAGGAATCAATAGTGTAGATTGGGGGACTGCATTTCACTGTAATATCCTTGAGATGTGACATTCATGCTTTTATCTGGTAAGGAAATGACAGATTTTCCTAACTTTTCCAAGATACATTGGGGAAGGGGACAGGTCACACAGTGACCTATTGTTAAGGGTAGGTAAGGATAAGTGACTGCTACTACTAAGGGCTTGTCTACATATGGAGTTGTTTCTGATTGACTCACTGGTTAAACTAAGAAGAAGACTGTACTCTTATTCCAGAAGAGGACTGGTTATACATAGACTTTCATAGATTTCATAGACATTAGGGCTGAAAGGGACCTCGGAAGATCATCGAGTCCAGTCCCCTGCCGGAAGGGCAGGAAGTCAGCTGAGGTCATAAGATCCCAGAAAGATAAGCATCCAATTTACTCTTGAAGGTGTTCAGTGTAGGTGCTTGAACCACCCCCAATGGCAGGCTATTTCAGACCTTGGGGGCTCGGACAGTAAAGAAATTCTTTCTTATGTCCAGCCTGAATCGGTCTTGCAGTAGTTTGTAACTTTGACCTCGTCATCCCTTGAGGGGCTCTGGTGAACAAACGTTCCCCCAGATACTGATGGTCACCCCTGATAAACTTATAGGTTGCCATCAGATCACCCTTGAGCCTGCGCTTTTCCAGGCTAAAGAGCCCCGTAGCTCTCAGCCTCTCATCATAAGGTCTGTTTTCCTGACCTCTGATCATGTGCATGGCTCTTCTCTGGACTCTCTCAAGCTTCTCCACATCCTTTTTGAATTGTGGGGCGCAAAACTGGATGCAGTACTCCAGCTGCGGCCTCACCAAAGCCGAATACAGGGGGAGAATGACATCCTGGGATTTGCTTGAGAAGGATTTATGGATGCAAGCCAGCATTTTGCTCGCTTTACTAGCTGCAGCATCACATTGCAGGCTCATGTTCATCTTGTGGTCAATGATGGCTCCCAAGTCTCTTTCTTCTGTAGTACTAGCCAGCATAGCACTGCCAAACCTATAAGGATGCTGCAGGTTTTCCTCCCGAGGTGGAATACCTTGCATTTTTCAGTGTTAATCAGACTTAATCAGGAATAACTGTGTATACAAAACCCCCAACTTTAGAAGTCAGAGATCACAGGCTATATACAACAGCCTTATCCCCTACTGTATGAGAAAGAGCGTGATACAGAAGTCATGATTTTAAGGCCTCATAAGCATGGATCCTGGTTTTCTCTGATTAAAAAAATCCCCGATTTTCAGTTGAAAAGTAACCCTAAATCCACATTTTTCCATTATTAAAATGAAACATTGTGTGTGTGTGTGTGTGTGTGTGTGTGTGTGTGTGTGTGTGTGTGTGTGTAATATTAGTGGTGTTTAATTTCAATCATGGAAAAATGTGGATTTGGGGTTATCTTTTTTTAACTAAAAATTGGGAATTTTTTTAAATCAGAGAAAACCAGGATACCTGCTCATACGTCGCCATAGTTGAGGGGAAAATGCCATACATTAATGGAAGCCTGCAGTTTCCAGCTTTTTATTTTCCTAGAGTTTAACAAAAAAATGTATCTTATCATTGGCACTCATTTTTCAGTCCAAGCTAAAAACCAGGCCATGTATGAGATGATATTGTGCAGTGAGTCACTTGGGCCAATGCACTGGTGCTTAAGTGAAAAAATGAAAATAAACCAGTAAAAAAATGAGAACAAACCAATAAAAAGTTGCATTTCTTTAAATTATTTATGGGCCCTCTAGTGATGCTTACTGTGTTCTATGTAGCTGAAACTAGCCAAATTAGAAATGTGTTTTAGTAGCAAGATCTCCACATCATTGGCATTTATTAAGTATAGGTTTTTAAACGGCAACATGCTGGGGTACTTTCATCTACTGTGTTAGTTTCATAGATTTAATCGATTTCATAGACATAAGGGGCATTGTACTGCAATATCTATTAAACCTGATTTTTTTTTAATCTGTCCATAATTTCTTGTATCCAGGTGTGTGGGTTTGTGCAAGGTGGGAATTTGCTCACAAAAGTACATGATTTCCTGTACACAACTGGGGCAGGAATTGTGTGGGTGTTCACATATTGCAGTCTCACTGATTTTAACATCCTAAATGTGGGCTAATTTCCATAATATCTGGACAACAGTATCAAATTAGTGGCATCAACCTAGTGTTAATTTGACTGTGGATTGGATCTTGAATGTCATCTAATGATTTTCTTCCCCATTTTTTCAGCTCCAGGGCTCCTTGAAAAGAAAGCTGGTGGTAAATCTGTCACCTGTCAACAACAAGAGACAGAATGGTATTTCAGATAGCTCTTTCCTTGACATCAAGAGGATACGAGTGGGTGATAATCTTTCTTTGGGACAAGGCGGACATCATGTTAACAATTGCCAAAGCCAGTCGATGTCAGGAACCTTGCCTGTGGGGCAAGGATCACAAAGAAAGAGCAGCAACCTAACAAATAATACTCAGGCTGGTGGAAATGGCATATTTAATATGGCTTTAAAAGAGGTCAAGAAAGAACCAGGAGAAACCATGTCTTGCAGCAAACACTTGGATGGTCAGATCCCCCATGAGAACATCTTTCCTAACAGATATGGGGAGGAAACAGGGGAACAGATGATGGATCCTGAACTTCAGGAACTTTTTAATGAACTGACTAATATCTCAGTGCCACCCATGAGTGACCTTGAGCTAGAAAATATGATCAATGCTACCATAAAACAAGATGAGCCTTTTAACATTGACCTTGGGCAGCAAAACCAGAGAGGCTCTGGTAGAGCCTCTCTGCAGATGGAGAAAATGGTGATCAAGAGTGAATATTCACCAGGTTTGAATCAGCCACCTGTAGGCTCCCCACAAATGAGGCCTTCATCTGCAGGCCCATCCTTCACAATGGCCAGCACTGCCATGTCCACCTCATCACCCATTCCTTCAGTGCCTCAGAATCAGATGCAGCCGTCGCAGGTTTCTTCTGTCTCAACTCGACCATTGACTAACTGGCAAGAAGTGTCTCATGCACAGCAGCTCAAACAAATAGCAGCCAACCGACAGCAGCATGCTTTAATGCAGCAGCAACAGCAGCAGCAAAACCAGTCAGCCAGCTGGTCTACCATGTCTCCATCAGGACCATCCCCAGGGCCATTTGTACAGGAGAAAATTCCCAGCCCTTCCTTTCATCAGCAGCAGTTCAGCCCACAAAATTCAGCGATGCTCGGGGTACCTGTAAATGGAAATCAGTCCAAAGGGATGAATAACTATGTTTATAAACCGAACTCCACACCTCAGAGCAACCCCATTGACATCATAATGCAACAGAAGCCTCAGGACCTCAACAGAAACTTTATAAACAACAGTCAGCCACCACTAGAGCAGCATCCTGGCAACACAAAGCCTTTGTTTCACTTTAACTCAGAGCAAGCAAACCAGCAGATCCCTTCAGTTTTGGGTTCCCAAAGCAAGACTTCTATTCTTCACTATACGCAGCAACAGCAGCAACAGCAGCAGCAGCAACCTGCTCAGCCCCTTCCAAACCAGTCTCTTCAAAGGCCACCAAATGTCCCCTTAGCAATGCAGCAGAAGATGATGCTTCAGAAAATGCAGCAGAGCCAGCAAATCTCAGGACTGCAGTATCCAGTCTCTCAACAGCACAGACAGGTAAGACATGTTCCTTCTAAACCATAATGAAAATATTATTTCATGTATAGTGGGGAAAAAAGCTTTTCGCAGCCATTCTTCCCAGAAAGAATAGGTGTAGAGAATTCCATAGCAAAATACAGTGGTCCCAAAACATTTAATACGTAACCACCTCATAAGATATTGCACAAAAAACTGCTGGTGTTCAATTTTTGTAATATGCACAGTAGATGCACACTGCACAGTCATAAGAAAAGAAAGACACGTTTCTTCCAATAACAGTACACTAAACGTGTCCCTGATGTGTATTACATGGATACTTCCCCATAAGGTGGGGTAAAATAATAGGGCAAAGTTAAGGTTATTTTTGAAGTCTCATTTGAATTTCCCAGCTTAGGAGATGTCAGTTGTTTTGCACTTTATTTCCATTTTCATTAAATTTTTTTTGAGATGATAGCTTTATAACATTGATTCTATGTCATCATTTTGTCTGGGAGAACAGGATTGAGAAATAACATTATTCTTAGATATATATATATATTGACTAATTGGACAAAGCTTTTCATCTAGGAATTTTATTAATGATTTGTAAAGGAAACTGAACATTCTGACTTCTTCTGTGTACATCTACCTAGCCTCATTCTTACATATTGCTACCTTGAAATTTCTTTCTAGAAAAAAGGGGGAGAAATTCTAGTCTTATATTCTTCACATAACATCAAAAGACTTGTAGTGGAACATAGGACTCTGGGCGCTGGACTTGACCCGGGAGGCCCATTACAGTTCTTTATTCTGAAGGATGTAACAGTATGTAGTAGAAATGTATTAGGACTGGAAGGGAAGTACAGTGGGGCATGAGAAATGGTTTAAATCAAAAGCTAATTTTTGAAAATGAACAATTTAATGTTAAATGCATTATACCCATAAAATAGATGAGGAATTGAGTCAGAGTGGCAGTGATTCTCCTATGCCTTGACCCTTGCGCTTGTCATTCATACTTGCTCATAGTGGATGTAAAATGATAGCATTCCTTATATGGCAGTTGCTCTGTGCTTCCTTTATTTATAAAATAGAAGGGGATAATACTTGCCCATGTCAGTGGGTTTCTGTAAGGATAAAAATAGATGGAAACATATGGCACATTCAGGTACTAAGGTGCAGAGTAGTGCTGAAATACCTACAGACCAGTGCAGAATTGCCAACTGTTGTGATATTAGCATGAGTCTTGTATTATCTAGTGGATACATGTCGTTAGAGGAGACTCTTCCTTAAAACAAAAGTAAGTTTTTAGCCTCTCGGGTTATGCAACGGCACTTGAAAATGTGACCTAGAGTAATCTGAAGGCTCACAAAGCAGGCTAAAAATAAAATAAAAAAATCTATAGGGTAATAGAAGTATAAATATAGATACTTAGACTTTATGATTTTGTAACCTAATCTCATGGTTTTTTAGGGTAGCCTGATTCAAGTTATTTGACTAGGATGGATGTCAGTCTTGCAAATGAGTAGAGTCTGCTGGGCAATTTGTTAATTTCTCATACATGGGAAAACACTGTAATGACTTATCCAAGCCTTAAAGACCAAACCTTCCCAATAATAATCAAAAGTACTAGAATAAGTGAATCCAACAAACCTGGAGTTTCTAGGCCATACTGGTCAGATGCAGTCTGATATTAACTATTTTTATTAAAGTTCAATTAAAATAGAAAGCAAAATATAAACAAATTTGTGTTATGCAAGTATATATATATATTTCTTTAACGCTACCAAACTTCTTAATCAGTTAGTTTTAGTTTGCTCCAACACATCATCCTCTTGTAGGAAACAGCATCTTAAAAGGTTCTAGCAGAAGGGGTTTGGTTTGAAGGGGTTGTAGAGGGAATTGGCATTGGGAAGGCACCTTAACTGACTTTGCAGGGAGTCAGTGGCTTCTTGTGTATTTCTTTAGATTTTAACTGTCTTCACCAGAGCTTTTCTCCCTCTCTCAATAGACTAGCAGTCAGATGGATTGTAACAGTTTCTTTATTCCACTATGATGAAGTCTCCAGCAAGCTGTTGTGTTGGCACAGGAGAGACCGGGGGCCCGGGGGGTGGGGTGGGGGGTGCTTTTGCAAACGTTAATCTTTTCACAAAATATGCAAGGCCACGTTCTGGAGAGAAATAAAAATACCATCAGTAAGTTGCTTGAAGCAGCATTAGCTTTCACAGCTGCTGCTGCTGCTGCTAAGCAGGCTGCAGGCAGACACAGCCAGTCGAAGGAATGCTCCTAGTGGAGCATTATTACCAAATGGCAGAGGGTGAGCCAAGCAGTATAGAGGCATGAATTCTAGCCAGCTAAGCAGTATGGAGGCAAAAAAAAATCCATCATATATGTTGTCTGGGATTTCTTCCACGTGCATTGAAAGGAGCTGCTGGGGTGGGACTTTCCCCAAATTAACTTAACAGAGCCTAAAACACTAGAAAGTAGGGTGAGCAGGACTTTGAGAAGGGGGACTTCATGAAGCCTCTTGCCTTACAGTCTTTTTCCCTAATTCTACCTGCAGGATGTGGTAATCTGCACCACAACCCAGCACTGGAGGTCAGGTTGTGAGAGCTTTGTAGTGTGAACTCTGGTACTACCCTGCATAGTGGAAGCTATCTTTTATACCCCATCATGGTCACTTTGAAGCTATGTACTATACAATGGGAAATTTCTCTAACGGCAGAAGTAATGTGTATAGTGAGACAGGATTGACCGGGGTTGGGCGTGCAGAATTTTTAATTCACTTAAACACAAGCGTTCACCTGTCTGTGTTTACAGATCCTGTAAACTCCTATTACATAGTTGTTTAACCACCAGATTCCACTGACTCCTCAGGCTGAGACAGCTTGCTGGATTTGTGAGCCCCTTCAGCTTGGCTGTTTGAGCTCTGTTGCCACTGGCAATCTCTCAATTCGGGGACAGTCTCTACCATGGCTCATTGATGTGTCTTCAGGTGGCTTAAGAGTCTAATCCTTGAGTCACAGATCTGTCTGCAGGGGAGAGTAAGCTGTAGGCAGGGATTTGTCTCCTTTTCCTTCCTCCGCCTTCTCTTCTCTGCTTTGAGGGCAAAACAACACTTGACTGCGAAGCAGTCTGCCACTTGATTAGAGTTGTTGCACCATTGGAGTAATTTAGCAGCCGCTCCTCCTACCTCTTGATGTTGGCATCCGTCTTCTTGAGGTGGGCCGTCAACATGTCCTTGTAGCATTTTCTCTGGCTGGTCCAGCAGAATACAGAATGTGCCATGGGAGATTTTCAACTTCAGGGTTCTTGAATGCAAGTGATTTATCTGCAAGCTCTTGCTTGGAAGCAGATAAATCCTGTACTACTTCTCAAGAAGTTTCTGAGCACTGCTGAAGCCTTGCAGAAGGTACATCCACACTGCATGCTTCCCCTAGGTTCTTAACCATGTTTTAGCCTGATCCCCCAACCACCCTCACACAAAACCAATATGTCCCAGCCTATGAGCAAGAATCCAAGCTTTCTTGCACAGTGCAGGTATGGGTCAAAGTCTTTTCCACTTTAAGACAGGTTCTAATACTCACTTTTCAAGGATGCTGCTAAAGCCATGATAGCTGAGATCATCTTCTGATAATTTTTTGGAATGCCATCCCGCAATTCCCTGAGCCCGTATGCTCTGACGTTTCTATTGGTTCAACTTCCCACTTGCCTCTTATGTTCTAGAAGTTTTCTACCAGTTCATATACATCTAGTCAACATTTAGGCCTTCATTCTGCTCTGCCTGCTCCATTTTCTGCTTACTTATCCAAGTCACTTTAGAATATGGCATCCCAGTTTACTACCAGCTGGCCCAAGAAGCACACCAATGCCTTCATTTTTTTATGTGAGTACTTCAAGGAAGAGAGACCCACAATGGTAGAGGGGATGAAGTACCAAGAACAGACATCAGTGCAAATCACACTGCTTGAATGGGCTCCAAGGAAGGCTTTATGACTGGATGATTTAGGACCCATCTGCTAAGGATCTCCTTGGGAGTGGGCCTTGCAAGCAGCTTGGAAAAGAAGCAGCACTGGATCAGGAATCACCAAAGGTAGGTGGCAGCTGCCATCTTATTATTATTAAAGGAGAAATTACAGCATGCATGAGAGAAATTACTGGGTTATTGTTAACGTGGGTATTACATGTAACAAGGTAGCCTTAAATTAAAGTGAGGACAGCAGGCACACTCATTTCCCTGATCTGTTTACTCCATCCCCACCCCACTCCCATGCAGGTGGATTCCAAGAAGGGGGAAAAAATCAACTACTGATTGATTTTTTCATTACATTTGTAGTAATTATTTAAAAAAATAAGTCCAAACTGACATTTCAGGTTTAGTAAGCATTGAGTGTACACTGCTAGACTGGTGGAGAGTTATATTGTCCTATGTCCCCAACTTGTCCCATTTTCTTTTAAATGAAGTAAATAATACATTCTTGCTAGTGTATGTCTATGCTCTGGTCATGTGGCTAGCAGGAGCTTGTGAGCAAGGCAATGCATTATGGTGGCATAAGAGCATACTTTACCATGAGGAAGACTCTTAAAAGGGGGTTTCTTTTATTTCATTGCATAGACAAAAATATAATATGCTGTGTGATTCCCTGGCAGGACCTTCCACCTTGGTTGAGGTCACCCAGACCACATCCCAAGAAAACACTGAACAAGCAGGATGTGTCTATTTCCTCATGCAAAAGTTCTGGACATCCCAGCTCTCCATGACAGTGTGATCCCACCAGTCTGTACTAGGTGCCCTGCATCAGAAGCACCATTTTATATATGGAGAAGCCACAGGTGTAGCAGGTCTCTCTTCTCTGGCCTGTTACCATCCAGCATGAACAAACCATCCTCCAAGATTCACCGCCACCACCCTAGAATCAGCAACTCCTGCTGCAAAGCCTGCCACCATCCCCTGTACCTTGTACATCCTGATGCTATAACTGCATGGCCACAAGCCAGAGCAGCCTGCTCAGCAATGCTGTTTTCATGGCTTGACACCAGCT